ATGTTTATTGGCTTTACCTAGTACAGGCATACCGACGTATCGTCCTAAACTACATTAAGGGCACGTGATTTATAACCTATTTCACATGTTGGTTTTATATGTTGAGTAACATGATTTTAATTTTACTTTGCATTAACTATTGTTAAATAAACCAAATAAATATTATTATATCAAAATATTATATAAGCTACAAAAATAACAATACTTCACAGAAAAGCTTGAGATTTATATAATAGCTCTCTTGTCTCGCATTGTTTTAACAACGAGATACAATACTATAATACTGATGATAAAACATAAAACAAATGCATTAAGAGAAAAAACTCTTGCCCACAACTTATAGATTACGTTTAAAAATGATTTACACTTAGTCATGAAGGGACAAAGCTTAATAACGTTTTGTTTACCTCCACTCTCCAGTCATCGTTATTCATTGTAAGTTCTATTGTATTGTATTTATCATATATCATAAATGTATAACTTATAAGATGCGTTTGATAGTCATTTAATAACACAACAATTTGTGGAGAACATTTTTTTTTAACTTTAATATTATAACAAAGTAATGTATCCTTCTAAAATGTATTTCTTGAAAAATAATGTTGTCTTCCATTAGTTCAACCAACCGTATCAGATACCTAATGAAAAATTAATACCTATTGTTATTTATTTATTTTTAATTTTGTACGTAGTTTATTATGTTTGTATATAATATAGTTATGTTCATATATCATAATATCATAGCGGAATTTTAAGCACAAAACACGGCCAACGCTCCTCTCACAGTCTTATGTTCAATTTTAAAGTATCATAGAAATAATAAGTATAGGTAAGTCTCACACAAATATAAAACAATTCATTTACAATAACTACTTTCAATTTTGATTTGAAATTAGATTTTAAAATAGAAACTTCTGAGTAACTATCCAAAGCTATTATATTAAATGTCACACTATCAGTGGCGTATATAGGGGGGAGGCCCACTAGGCCAGGGCCCATACTGAAATTGCAGGTTCAATTAAAGTATTTCATGTATATCTCATATACATTCTACACTGCTTACAGTTTTTCACCATGATTAATTTAGCCGGTTGATTAAAATCGTTTTTGAGAAATCCACAAGGAAATGATTGTCAGGACTTGCTTTGATGACTTTGATGTTAAATTCACAGTTAGATAACATAAATATATATATATATATATATATGAAATTGTCAATATTTTTTAAAAAGAATTAAAAAAATAATTTTACATAATTATAAAATGAAATTGCTCAATTTTTATTTATATTGTATATGTCGTAATTATAACCACCCAGCTCCCTAAAATATGTATACATATATTGACAAAATTGGCCCATAGTGAAAATATTTTGTATATACGCCACTGCACACTATACCTACCTACGCTGGTTTCGAGATCTTTTGATCTAATATTTGCTCATATTAATCAAATATATAATTGAATAAATCTGTTCGTTTGTTCTAAAGGTATAACCCTTATAGGTGTATACCCTCCCTCAAATTATAATTTGTTTTATTTATAATTCATTATTCATCATATTTGCTTATATTATGCTGTATAACACAGATTGTAAGTTTTCTAAACAAAACTAAAAACTAAAATTAAACAATGCAACTAATTCAAGTCAACACAAAGACCAAACAGTTTTATAAGATAACAATTGAATACAAATGTATGTGCCTACATGGCTATATATTTATTAACTTTTTCGCTTCACATATTATTTTTTGGATATGTTAAAAACATTTGATCCAATTCAATATATTATGCATAATCACTTTTTTTAATTTAGTTTAATTTGTATACGTATTTTTTTCGTAACGTTTTAGTATGAATTTATAAATATAGATTGTATATTACTTATCTATTTATAATAATTGAAAATGACAATCAATACATTTTTAGGGAACATTACATTAAAAATCAATCAATAAAAAAATTTTAAAACGGTAATTTATAATACGGTTAAGACATACAAATGCAAAGAGCTTATAGAAACTGTAGTTTATTTTTTTGAAGGAGAGACAATTAACTTTAAATTTACAGAAAGCAAATGAAAACACGTACAAATCTGCCAAGTAGACAAGTATATTAATGTTTCAGTTTATGTTTTTTGCATTGTATTTTTTTTTATAAATGCGCATTGTAAATGAAGTCATTTGCACGATTACTTTGTAAAACAAAATAAGAAATAAAAATGTTATTAAGGGAATTTCAGGCATGTAATGTTCATTCCCTAGAGTCGTGAGAAAAATATATTTATACAACACTAAAAATCGATTTAAAGCGAAAATAAGAGAAATAAATACGGTTTTTTTATGATAGTGTACAGACATCTTTCTCAATATCCATTTTCTCCAATATGCGTGTGCGTAATATACATTAAATTCTTATATCCAGGTTAATTTTCAAATTTATCTCTATCAAGAAATAAAAAAGAACACCCAAAATGGCCTGAAACATTTATTTTATGATGCAGATTGTTCTTCAGGTTTTTTTTAGAAACATAATTAAAAAATACACAATCAATGTTCGTAATCGGATAATCCACAAATTTGGTTCAGAATAACGTTCAGAATTTTCAATCCACTTCTGTTTAGAATACCTACAATTAATTCATCACATAAACCGCCGCAATTCCCATTAATGTAATTTATTTTGATACCATAAACTAAGCATTAGTGATTTGCCCAATGTACACGCAATGTAGACATAAAAACGATAAACGACTTTTGAGTGAACATCGTATCTATAATTTGCATCGATAAAAGTAAGTGCTTTCATGTGGTTTCGAATAAAACATATAATATACGTATAGTGAACGTTGCGTCATTGCGATTCGCAATTATCTCGTCTGTCAAATGTAAAAAGTTAGGGTGAATATTATAGCTGTAATTAGCGGCATTAACCGTAACGAGTGGAGGCATATTTGACACAACCTATAAAATATGAGTTCTATACTTACTTCTATCCTAAACTAAAACTATAAGACTATAAAAAAATATGAAAATGTATTAATTTAACTATACAAAGAATTGATAGTATTTATATTATGGTTTTTATTTCAATTAAAGTTTTATATTAAACGTCTATATGTATGGCTGTTCTACAGTTAAAGTACCTACCTAATCATCATTCATCAGTAATGTGTTAGGTATAAAAAAAATGATACGCTATAATTATCCTACAATATGAGACACATGTACAAAATAACTTTTGGAATAATTACATTATTACATTATACATTACAATATTCTATAGAACGAAAACCTTTATAGTGAATGGTGTCATATAGGATTTCCTTAGAATTTTTTATAAAGCGTATTATAATAATTGCGATTTGAATAGTACCTTTTAACGCTGTGATTTCCTAAATTAGTTTTGTTCATATTTTATTATATAACTATTATGAATATTGTTAATTGTTGTGGGATTTTTGATTATATGTTAAAAAGTTTCAGCGTTTGAATATCCAATAAATAGTCTCAAATATTTTGTTATGATCAATTTGAAATTTGAAGTTTATCCATAATATGATTATGAATTATATTCTTAATGGGTAGGCATTTAATGATAATCATTGTCATTAATATTGCATGAATCAATAATAATTTGTTATACTAATATAGGTACTATTGTTAATTTGAAAAGCATTGTTCATTGTAAGACAAACTGAATAAAACTAGTTGCTTATATAAAATGTATTATTTGTTTTTATTATTTAATTTCATTAATCCATAAACCGATAAACCTCAAAAGCATAATAATTATAATTATTGATCTATTATATTAGATTATATACTTACCTGAAATAGGTATCTGGTGACTGGTATTATTTTATACCACTGGTATATAATATATAAAAATAAAAAGCAACATTATAATAAATTAATATTTAATACATATTATTATTATTACAAGGTGGATAGGTAAGGTACCAACTCTTATTATCGGGGTTTGGAAAATGTTTACGGAGTAGGTAGGTATGTTACCTATATGATTCTATTGGTAGGTACTTATTTGATTAGGTTATGGTTGTATATTTTGTATATGAATATATTGATTATTTCATATACTATAGTCTATAGGTAGGTCATAACTATAGAAAATAGCAGGTATTGTTCACTGCTGTATGTTCTTTGATTTTCTAAACTCTTTTTTGGATCAATAAAATAGTAAGAACTACAATGCTATTTCCATGATACCTATGTCCTATACTCCTATATATACGGCTATACTTATATTATGTACATAACTATATATGTTGTGGACTGTAACGCTTTTTCTTTGTTTTTGGTTCTCGGATAGGAATAATTAGTTTAATCAATATATATTGTAACGCACCTTATTTCGATCGCAAAAATATATACATCTTTATTTCTGGTTATTTATTACGACGACGCGAGACGGTGCCGATTACATCGATCGTACGCGACTGACTCAATAGTCACACAGTATAATACAAGTCTATAATAATGTGTTATCGGGATCGGCCCGCGTATCGTCTTTATCAAGACCGAACGATACCGATACAAATTATTATCGACTCTTAATATAAAATAATAATAATAATAATAATATAGTACAATATAATAATATAATAGCACGCGTCAACACCGCCCGCCTTGAAATATTTTAATATTTAAACAATATATAATTCACACGAAAAATACATAATATAAGTGTAGATAATATAAATATATATATAAAAAAATTAATTTTAACAAAAAGTGTAAATATACATTTGAATTTTACTCCTTACAATGCATGAGAAAATGTCCCTTTTTATTCTTATTGTTTTTTTTAATTGCAAAACTAACGAAATACAATATACTACAAAATATATATAAACAAAACGTATGAATATAAGTTATATTTAACCCCTTATTATACAAGCGTAAAAAAAAAAAAAAAATTTCCCTTTTAATTATATTCATTTTTATATATAATATACAAATTTTTTTTACGATATTACCTTAACCCATGTTATCATCAAACGGAAGCGGGCACAAATTTCGTACCGCTCGGTTGTACTCGCCCGTCATAGTTTTCACCAACGCCGTACGAATAACTCCGTCCTCTCCGTGGCTGACCGACAGTACCCGTCCTAGCTTCCAATTTAGTGGCTTAATATTTTCATCACGCATCAAAACGATTGTTCCGATAGCCAAGGTGGGACCTCTCTCCACTGACCATTTTTTTCTTACTTGCAATTGATTTAAATATTCGTTGCTCCATCGTTTCCACAAAATTTGCGTGTATTGTCGAACACGACGCCACCGGTCTAATCGATTCGCCGGGATTGTACTTTCATCCCTTTCCGGTATGGCCATCAGAGATTCTCCAATTAGGAAATGTGCAGGAGTAAGATATGTTAAGTCGGAAGGATCGGATGACATTTCGGTTAAAGGGCGGGAATTAAGGCATGCTTCTACCCGGGTAAGTATAGTATTTAGTTCTTCGTACGTTAAATGCGACTCGCTTAGCACTCTACCTATCAGATTTTTCATCGATTTCACTGAGGCCTCCCACAGACCCCCAAAGTGCGGTGATCGCGGGGGAATGAACCGCCATTCTACACCATCATTGGCTGTTTGTTTTTGTATTTCATTATTATGTTCCGTAGATTTAAATAAATCATAAATTTCTTTTAAATATCGATTCGCGCCCACAAAGTTCGTAGCGTTATCTGAATAGATTACCGCACTTTTACCTCTTCTATCAAAAAATCTATTTAAAGCATTTAAGAATGATTTTGTGCTCAGGTCAATTACTAATTCTATGTGAACCGCTTTAGTCGCAAAACACACGAAAATGCACACGTAGCCTTTTGTAAGTGATGCTCGCTTTTTTAAGCTATCTTTGATTAACAACGGTCCCGCGAAATCAATACCACTGATTTTAAAGGGACGCGATGGTTCTATACGTTCACGAGGTAAATCACCCATTATGGGTTCAACGAACACCGGTTTTTGCCTGAAACACGTAACACATTTATGAACCGTCGCTCGAGCGATATTTCGTGCTTTCAACGGCCAATAGTATAATCGCACTAAGGCTAATATCGCCAATGGGCCTCCGTGCATACACCTTATATGTTCACGCTGAAATAACAATTTCGTGTAAATACTGTCACCTGGTAAAATAATAGGTTGTCGTTGAAATACCTCTATTGTACTTGCATTTTTTAATCGACCTCCAACTCTCAATATATCTTTATCGTCTATAAACGGTCGCAATAAATTTATTTTACTTTTTGGTATCGATTTTTTATTTTTTAAATTTTCTATTTCCAATTTAAAAAAAATTATTTTGTACATTTTTAATTAGACCAATATTTGCACGTTCTAAGTCTTCTGCTCTCAGTGGTCCGACTGAGGCACTAGATTTTTTCACTAAAAAATCTCTAAAGCGTAACCAGTACGCCGCAATACGCAATATTTTATTTAACGACGAATATCTTTTGAATAATATAAATTCGTCAGTCACCACAAAAGCTATATTTCGTATTGTTTTCGCTTCGGGTAGCATTTCTATGTTATCATTTTGGCTGGTTTTTTCTGTTATCGGCCACTCCTCGATATTGTTTTTTAACCATTCCGGTCCGTTCCACCACAAATTAATACTTGATATTTGCTCTGCGTCGCACCCGCGTGATATTATATCAGCCGGGTTTTCCGATGACTTAACATATGCCCAATCTGTTATGTTGGACAGATCCTGTATCTCCCCGATACGGTGTGCCACGAATGTCTTCCAGTTTGTCGATGGAGACGCTATCCATGATAGTACTATTTTTGAATCGGACCAAAAATATTTTTTCGCGATATTTAATTTTAACTTCGGAACAATACGGCTCACTAAACGCGCCAATAAAAGTGCTGCACATAGTTCTAACCTTGGCAATGATATAACTTTAAGTGGGGCGACTTTTGATTTTGCACATATTAATTTGGCTGTGTGTTCTCCTTGTTCATTGGTACTACGTAAAAATATACACGCTCCGTAACATTTGATACTTGCGTCTGCGAATCCGTGTATTTGTATATTTGTTAATATTTTATTACACCCGATATTACGTGGTATGGTCAGCTTGTTTAACATCGATAAACCTTTTCTATATTTGACCCATTCTATACGTATGTTATCTGGTAATGGCTCGTCCCAACTAATACGAATTTGCCATAAGCTCTGTATTATTAATTTTGCTTGTACTATAATTGGACCGACCAGTCCCATCGGGTCGAATATCGCCGCGGTCTCGGCTAAAATGTGTCTTTTACTTATTGTAGTATTTTCGTCATGATATTCTTTTACCTTGTATTGTAATACATCACCATCCGCATTCCAATACAGTCCGAGTATTTTCGTTATTGATTCTTCCTCAAAAATACACTCGTTCGCATTTTCTTTTTCTGACATACAACTAACTATACTTGGTTCATTTGATGACCACTTTCTTAACGTCATGCCTGCTTTTTTCATTATTAAAATTACTTCGTCACGTAACTTTATCGCTTCTTCCTTCGTTTCCGCGCCACTTAGGAAATCGTCCATATAAAAATCGTTTCTAATTGCCTCACAAGCTTTTACATATGACGATTCTAGTTCAGATATTTTCCTTAAACATGCTGTAGCCAAAAATGACGCCGGTACTGTTCCATAAGTAAGTGTTGTTAAACGATAAATTTGTATTGGCAATGAGGGGTCCGCGCGCCATAAAATTCGTTGTTTCTCGCTATCTTGCTTCGTCACCAATACTTGGCGGTACATCTTTTGTATATCGGCCGTTAATACAAATTTATGTGTTCTAAATCTTGATATTATATATAGCAGTTCGTCCTGTATAACCGGCCCTTTCAATAGTGTATCGTTTAAACTATATCCGGATTCCGTTTTACAGGACGCATCAAACACTACTCGCAACTTCGTTGTTTTACTGTTCTCATTTTTTACCGCATGATGCGGTAAATAACACGTTTCACCTAACTTTTCTTCATTTGTTACGAGTTCCATATGACCTAACGTTTCATATTCGCTCATAAACGTAATATAATCTTTTTTTAATTTTTCGTCATTTTGCAATCGGCGCTCTAATGCTAAAAATCGACGTTTCGCTATCTCGTATGACGGTCCGATTTTTATATTAACGTCATTTTTTAACGGTAAATGTACGATAAACCTACCGTTTTCATTTCGATTAACCGTCCTTTCAAAGTGATCGACACATTTTTTTTCTTCCGTAGTATATGGCACTGCCGCTTCAAACTCCTCTGTACGCCAAAATTTTGATACCATAATTTCCAAATTAGTACTTCTGTTTTCCTCTACTAACGCGGTATGGCAATTTACATTATTTGGTTTGCCATTCGTATATTTTGATGTTACTAAACCGGAAACAATCCAGCCCAATTGAGTTTCTTGAAATATTGGTCCATTTATTGTCGGTTTAATTTTTTGTTTACCCAATATTTCGAAAAAATGACATGCGCCTAACAACAAATCAATTTTTTTTGGAATTTTAAATGAAGTATCCGCTAATTCTATATCCGAGGGTACTATGCATTCACCTCCGATATTTTCTGACGGTAATATATTTGTAATTTTAGGCACAACTAAACAGGAACACGTTAAATTATAATTATTAATGCGCGAACGAATCGTCACTACGACAGCCGCCTTCACGTTTTGACTTTTGCCGCCAATGCCCAATACGGTATGCTGTACGCGCGTCTTTTTTAATTTTAATATTTGTGCCATACTTTCGGTTATAAAATTGCATTGTGAACCTGAATCTAACAATACACGTCCGATTTGCGATTCACCACTCTCGTTTTGAACTCGTACCTCCGCCGTTGACAATAATACCTGGTCACTCGAACTAGCCGCTACGTGTACACTAACCGCTGCTGTCGCTTCTTGATCTTCAGACAGTTTTTCTGCTTCCGACTTTCTTAACTCTGAACTATTACCAAGATGTAGCATTGTGTTATGCGGTTTAGAACAAGTAAAACAATTCTTACCGTTACACTTTTTCGGTACGTGCTGTCGTAAACACACTTTACATAATTTCATTTCCGCTACTCTTTTTATTCTTTCTGTAACTGGTAACGCGATAAATATCGGACATTTGTAAATGGTATGGGGCGCTTGACAAATATAGCAACCTTTATTATTTCCTATAACTAGTGACGACGACTTTTCATTCAATTGTTTATTATGATTATTAAATTTGTACGCACCTTGTCGAATATTTATATTTTTGCACGTCTCGATTGCTTCTAATATTTTAAATCGCGATTCTAAAAATTCAATTAATACTTCGACCGGTGCTACTTCTTCTTTAGCCGTAATCGTCTCCCACTCACGTCTACTATTTTTATCTAATTTTGTTACTATTAAATGCACTAGCAAGGGCCCCCAACTATTAGGTGTGTGACCTAACGTTTCTAGTGCGCTCATATGACCGGTTAACGCATCCGTAAACTGTCGCAATTTTGCCGACGATTCGGATGTGACTGGTTCTAATTCAAACATTGCCTTTACATGTGTTTGTACCAATACTTTTTTATTGCTATATCTTTTTTTTAATTTATTCCATGCCATTTCATAATTGCTTGATGTAGTCTCTATACATCGAATACAATTCTGCGCGTCACCTGTCACCGCGGAACGTAAATAAAAAAACTTTTCAACTGGAGGTAAATCCTCGTTATTATGGATTAACGATGTAAATATATCGTGGAATGTTGCCCACTCGTTATATTCGCCAGAAAACGTTGGCACATTCAACGCCGATAATCTTATCGGTGGACGCGAGATTTTTCGACCACTATCTTTAATATCGGCCGTCGCTTCTATTGACCGGTAATTCCCTTCGCACGTTCCGTCTTCATCAGTACCACGGTATGGTTGCACTTTTTTTTCATTGAACACTGGTTCCGTCAATTTTTTGGCTATTCCTACTGCCTTAAAAAACATTTCTTCGAACTCTTCTCGATATTTATCTTGTTCGTCCATCTCTACGCCCTCAGTCTCTTCTATTTCAGATTGGATTCGCTCGTATTCGCTCCAGGTTTCTTCTATTTTCTCTTTTCTTATGTATATCTCATTTACATCTACGTTCTCTTTCGTTACAAAATTTAAAAATCTTTTTACGGCCGCCTTCAGCTGTCCGCGGCACTTAATCAAACTTGATATGTCGCTCATTATTTGTATTATTTTCTATTCGTATAATATTTCTTATTTTATACGACAATAAGAATAATAACTTTTATAATATCGACGCAACGCAATCGCCAACTATAAATTTAATTGTCGACTATTGCTTATCTTATATCTCCTTTGCACAACCCGCACTAATTGGTTTACGATGTGAAGCATATGCGTTCACTATTTTATCGCAAATAAAATACTGATAGTGACGTGCTAATCGAATATATTGTCGCCTATACTATACTATCTCCCCGGGTATAGCCCAAATATAAGGAATTTTTACCACGAGAAAATATAAATTTTCAAGTACTATGTATTAAGGAAATTGGAAATCTCTTACCTTTTATGAATTTGACGACGGTGCACGCTCTTTGCCCCAATCAGCCAACATCCAACTCCAATGCTCTAATAACTCGCTTTGTTATTAAATCGTTTCTTAACTTTTTGAGTTCGCGTACACGTGGCTTCGCACTCTTTTAAGCCTTTTCACTCCAAATTAATCTAAATTACTCGCTATCCGTCGTCGAAGGACCATGTTGTGGACTGTAACGCTTTTTCTTTGTTTTTGGTTCTCGGATAGGAATAATTAGTTTAATCAATATATATTGTAACGCACCTTATTTCGATCGCAAAAATATATACATCTTTATTTCTGGTTATTTATTACGACGACGCGAGACGGTGCCGATTACATCGATCGTACGCGACTGACTCAATAGTCACACAGTATAATACAAGTCTATAATAATGTGTTATCGGGATCGGCCCGCGTATCGTCTTTATCAAGACCGAACGATACCGATACAAATTATTATCGACTCTTAATATAAAATAATAATAATAATAATATAGTACAATATAATAATATAATAGCACGCGTCAACAATATAGGTATGTAACATATCTACCTAAGTAATGGGACGTATACATAGTCGTTTGTATATGTAATATGAATATTATTTCTTATAGGTCTGTAATAATTTAATTCAATGTTCAACTTACCAAAAAAAGTATGTAACAATATTTTATTATACATTTACCATTAAACCATCAAAATTTCATGTTTCCCTCACCTGACGAGGTGGCCGAGTGGTTAAGGCGTTGGACTGCTAATCCAATGTGCTCTGCACGCGTGGGTTCGAATCCCATCTTCGTCGAACAGGTGAAATATTTTTTTCACAAAACTACAATTTTTTTTGCATTTAATATTTATTAAAAATAAGTCCGGTTAATTTATATTTAATTTCATATCGTTATACATATTCCTGATTTCATAATTTTCCATACCAGTAACGTTACTAAGTTTGATTAGTCAAAACTTATATTTCATGACAATCGTACAATTTTAGTTTCAAATGAATAGTGAATGAATTACGATAAACTTGATATTCCAGAAGAACATTGATATTTTGATAAGTTATTGTTCGACTATTGTGATTTAGTTTGATAGATGAAAATCCTTTTCCACTGACAAAATATAATATACTCTTATTTTATTTGCACAATATAAAGTACTTACATTTCTCGTATGGCTTATATTTTCGTTGACGTACACAAATGCTCACGTCGTATAATATAAATTGTTACTCGTGTTCTTTTTAAGTGTACAACACTTACTGCATAAGTAAATTAGTGGTTAGCTGTCAAATGTGTGTGGTGTGTCTAGTCACTTTATACTAAATTAAATTATACAAGTATGGTACCTACCTACGTTATCCTTAATTTAAAGTGAATTTGTTTGCGTAACGGCTTACATATTACAGTATAATGAATGGGTTCCAAAATAAAAGCAAATATGAAATAGGTAAGTACAATGAATAATATTAAATATTAATGCTAGTACGCATATATGATATAAGTAAATGTTATATGGGAAAAAATAATTTGGTACCTACCTAAAGAATAATTTTTTAGCGTAAATAACAGCTAGCCAAAATATTTTGTTAGTTATTGATGGTAAAACAAATTAAGTCAGATGTATCGAATATTTTTAGTTAATAATTCTAGTTTAGTTCGTATTGCTGTTAGACATTAGTAGATACTAGATACATCTACAATACAACCATTGTATTTAATTCAAATTACCAACCAATATAGGTAAATAATTGTATATTTTTACCTAACTTAACGTAACTTCACATAGTGCTATATTAGTTTGGTTTGAAAACACTAAAGTAGTAAATATTGACTCGCATGTAGCCACATATGTAGGTACATGACAGTTACATATTTATAATAAAAAAAAAAAAGTAAACGTTACGGATACATTTTAAAATTGAAAGTTATCGAAAAAAGTAACTCTCATTAGACATTGATTAGGTAAACACTAAATAGGACTATTGTCTATTTAAATATAAGAAATAGTGAACGACGTGCTTTGAAAACTTTTCTCACATCATCCGAATTCCATCAAATTGAATTTTTTAATTGTTAAATCACGTTATAATTTTAAACAAAAACCATATAATATTATCGTTCAAAAATCTATAGTTTATAGTTATTTCATTCATGTATATAAAAAACTAAAAAAATTGGAAACTGAAAATGTCCCTAAACAGCTCAAAATAAGTCAAAATATTTTGAAAATGGCATAGTGTATAGAAAAATGTTAATATTCCCTGAAAAATTCAGTCAAAATGTCATGTATCTCTCAGTCATTTATTTTAGAGTTACACCAAAAACCAAAATCGATTTTGTGTAAAAATTCCCGTTTTTCCCTAATTTTTCTTTTGTTTTTCACGGCGCTTTTGAAAACTACTGGAAAACTTTTACTTTTGACCCCCCCCCCCCCCCCCCCAACGTACCAACCAAATTCAGAAAAAAATTGTACCTGTTTTTTATTAATTTTATCTCTTTTCTGACCTCATTAAAATGTAAAATATGTTACTCATGGTAGTGTACCTACCTATAATAGTAGTAAATCATACATTTCCTATACCTACTATATAAATTGTATTATAAATTTATAACCATACATCCTGTTTCTGCGTACTACTCGTATATGTATTTTAGAGGGAAGCACTCTGTGTTTCCTCTATAGTCACTCTGATGAAATCGTATCAAATGTTCGCTACAGTCGCTAACGTAATAGGATCTCTTAAATTAATGAGATTAGTTTGACTAATTTCTCAGAAAATATATTGTACCTATATAGTATATAAATTGAATGCAGTGTGTACTGTGTACCTACAGTACCTAAACTGATTGATATACTAGACAATGAAATTTATTGACGGCCAATTACTGTCATTATTATTCAATGAACTGGCAAATCGAACAAATGCGTAAAGACAACACATTGAGTAGTTTGACATGTAACTGTAATTTATACACACTTATAATACTTGAATGTTTACGTATAGCTCTAAAATTAATTTTGACCTGTATTTTACATTGTACAAGTATGCCCAATTGACTATGGCCTATACGAAACCCGTCGGCCGTCGTAATTAGGATTGTTTATATTGTGTTCATATAATATATGAAATGATTTTTTAGTATTTACTTTCCATTATATAATATAACTTATATATAGTTTTTTATAATATATTATTTGCCCAAAGCAAA